CTCTCTCTCTCTCTCTCTCTCTCTCTCTCTCTCTCTCTCTCTCTCTCTCTCACTGGGACACAGTACCCAACAACTACAGCTTAAAAGGGGAAATGTTTATTTTGGCTCACAGTTTGCAGAGGTTTCATCCACAGCTGGCTGACCCTGGGGCAAGGTAGTGTGGCAGAGGGGCCTGGCAGAGGAGGCTCTCAGGGAGCAGAGAACAGTGGAGGAGTAGGGAGAGAGAGTGACCCTTCCAGGCCACAAGTCCTGTATCCCTCCTTCTCCAGCCAGGCTTCACCTGCCAACATCACAACAAGCTATAAACCAAGACATGGACTAATCCACCAGTGATATCATGCTCCCATGGTCCTATGACTCCCGAAAGGCCCCACCTGTGAGTGTATGGGCTTTGGGGGGACATCTAGGTATAAACTATGTCAGTGACTAAGTCTTTGTGTCCTTTGAGTAGAGATAAAATGGATTTTTCCTATAGGATATGTAATTTAAACTAGTCATAACAACTTCCTAGACGCTTTCTTAGCAGCAACATGGAGGAATCCTGTGGCATAGATGAGCCGGTTTCCAGGGAGGCGGCGTCTGTGGCAAATGCTCTCTCTCTCCCAGCGGAGTCTTATGGCAACGATCCAGATATTGAGATGGCCTGGGCTATGAGAGCAATGCAGCATGCTGAAGTGAACGATAAGCTGATTTCATCAGTTGACCGACAGTTCCTGAAACTCACAAAAGTGGATGATCAGATCTACTCTGAATTTCGGGAGCATTTTGAGAAACTCAAAGTAGATGTGTTGGACCCAGAAGAACTCAAATCAGAATCAGCTAAAGAGAAGTGGAGGCCATTCTGCCTCAAGTTTGGCGATATTGTAGAAGACTACAACTACGGTACTTTGCTGTGACTGGATTGTTCTCAGGGCTACACAGAGGAAAATACAGTCTTTGCCCCCAGGATACAGTTTTTTGCCATTGAAATTGCTCGGAATCGAGAAGGCTATAACAAAGCAGTTTATATCACCATTCGTGACAAAGAAGGCATGAAGGGAGCCAGTGGAGGAGAGCACGGAAGAAAGGAAGAAGCTGATGGT